ACTACTACTAATAAAGAAGTTATTCCTTTTCTTTGTTGAAGCAGCAAATTAGAAAAATTTCTACTCTAATTCCAAAATCCTATCGAATTCTGCCATCCCCACCGATGGTATCCAAAAAGTATATTACCCAATAATTTTTTTTTTTTTAGATAAATCAGTCTCCTAGGATGAGGAAACTCAATTCTTACCAACTTCAAAATAATGCATCACGTAGATATGTAGATTTTTGTATTTCATCTATCTTTCTAAGTTCACCTTTAAAAAAAAAAGGAAAATCCTATATTTAGCAACATTACAATTAAACGATAAAAACAAACTAAAAAATAATTCACTTCCTTTAAACTCCACCTGGGTTGAAGAAAAGGAAGAAAAAAAAAAGGAGAGGATACCGAAGAAAAAGAAAGAAAAGGAAAGTAGAGGAAAGTGATTTCTTTCCATCTTGTTTGGGTTAAGTATGCAAGGAAAAGAAAGGAAACTAATTTTTTGTTTGGATTGAAGAAGGAAAAGATTAAGTGTTAATTTCATGAAAAAGATAGAGAAAAATGATCTTTTAAAAGAATTTATATTATTTTAATTAATTTAGTTTTATTTCCCTCAATTTCCGCCCACTTTTGCACAGAAAGTATAATTCAACAAAATAACTAAATCTTCTTTCTTCTTTTCCCACCCTATCCTTTCCCTTCCCTTATCAAAAAGTCAATCCAAACAACAATTTCTCTCAATTGGAGGAGGAACTACAATGGATTACTCATTATTGGGTGGGTGACAGTTTTATTCCTAGAATCAAAAGGTTAGCATTTGCTGTTATGGTTTATCATATTTGGAAAGCTAGGAATGTTGCTTTATTTCAATCAAAGCCTACGACAAATATTTGTATTAAGCTGGAAATTATAGATGCGATTCATCATGTGATGCTTGCAATGGAAAAAATTCCAAAGAATCAGGAAACTTGGAAGTTGTGCTTGGAGTGGGGTATATCTCCCAAGTGTTTCTCTTCTTAATTTTTACTGTAAAGAGTATAGTTCATCCACTTGAGATTCTCTTGTCAAGCTACATTTCTACTATCAATAAAAGCTATGCATTTGCATTAAAAAAAATCGAAACAACAAAAACCAAATCCCTCTAATTCCTCTCCTTTCCTTTCCCTCCATCCAATCAACAAAAACCAAATCCCTCTATTTTCCTTTCCCTCAATCCAAACGATGCTTTAGAGATTCTCATATTTGTTTCCATCGCTTGGTAATAATAATATCATAATTTGTAGTCAATTTTTGTAAGTGAACTCTTAAAAAAATGGGTTTATCTATATGGTCTGCTTAGGTGAATAAGTAGTAAACTTTGATGACCAAAATATAGAGAATTATGCATAGTTTAGCGATCAATAGTGTCATTTGCTTTTTATAATAAAGCAGAAGTAAGAGTTTGGATGGGTGTAAGCTTTTGCTATCATTTTTTGTTTGAGTAACTCTTATATACATTTACAGTGTATACACTATCACCATTAGATTAACAACATGGGTGCAAAAGTTCAATTTTAAAATTTAGATTTTGTATAGTTATCATTTATACAGCGCTGTTAGAGTAGGAAAGATAATCTTTTTTGTTTTACCAAAGTTTCCCCTTTATGATAGGATCAAACAATTTTACAACTTCCACAACCATCATTTTTTTTTTCAACAAACGGCCACAACCATCATTAAGATGACAACTATGGCTATATCTTTTGTAAACCCACAATTAATTTGGACGACAACTGCTAACAATTTGTGAAACAATTTTCTACTCATAATAAACTACTCATCAAAGCTACCCACTAATGAACTCAAAATGATTTCAATAAATATAATAAAAAAATTTTACAATTTTTTTAGTAATCTGTGCCTTGCACACTAATCTATACTATATATAAAGCTTGAGAAAGGGGTTTGGGGTTAACATTAGGATTAACATTTATTGGCACTTTATAAGCTTTTTTTTTTCCCTTATAAAAACAACTTTTACTTTAACTACCTATAACTATTTATGACTATTTTTGCTTTTAACTATTTATGTATATGTTTTCAACATAACTACCCCTAAACATTATAACTACCAATATAAAATTATTTTGTGAAAAATATTTAAAAGATTAAAGTTTGCTTCAATAATAAAAATTTTATTTAAAATATATGACCATAAATATTATGTATTTTTTGATTGCGCACATTTTGGGTGTGCATGAAGCACTAGTAGATATAATGCTTGAGCAATGATAGTTAGTGTAAACACTTTTTGTCATCTTTTGAACTTTCAATTTTATTCTTTTAAAAATTAAATTTTTACCATAATCACCTAATCACATTTTGCCAATATAACTACTCATAACCACCCAAGTATTGTGACTACCATATTACTATAATCATGTAAAGCAAAGTTCTTTCATGAAAATTTTAGATAAATTTTTTGTATGTAACAAAAAATTTATACAAAATTTATTTATTTTAATTATTCCCTAATTGCACATATATTAGGTGTGCCATTAACACTAGTATATATAACTTTTACACGAACTATGTAGTCATTGGTGGAACTACATATTTCACAAAGTCAAACTTATGCGTTGGATTGAATATTTTTGGTTGAATCCAAATGACCCAAAACTTCCCCTTCAAATTTTTGGTTTTTTGTAAGAAAGGTTAAATATTTGTACTAACTAAATAATGCTATGTACTTCACACTGTTGTTTTTTGTTTGCACTGACTTGTATGCATTGATTTACAAAACTTGTAAAATGTATTTTATTTTGCCATAATATTCCACCCAGAAAATGTTGTACATTAACTTTTTTTTGTTGTGTTGGGGGGGGGGGGGGAGCAAAAATTTGTTCTGAAATTGAAGTTTCCCCAGTCTTTAATGCCATACAATAATTTGTTAGGCAGCACTTTTTCAAAAGCACGTAAAAATCCAGATGTCCTCATTATTTGAAGGTTTAACTGCAAAAGTACCCCTCTGAACTTTTCTCAAATTCGAAGTGCCACAAACAATTAATTTCAGCACTATATACCCCCCAAACTATGAAACTTCTTTAGAGATGGCAATTGGGACGAATGCCGTGGAACTAGAGCTGGTGGGGCTAGCGGGGGGCATTTTTCCCCCATTAAAATATGAGATCCCCGCCCCATTCCCTGCCCTATCACCGATTAAAAAAATTATATATGTATATATAAATAGTTAAAAACTTATAATAATGATATTATTAGTTATAAGTATTATATAATGTATATTAGTATATATAATATAATTAATATTATTAATTATACTAATAATTATACATGTATATTAATAGAAATTATTAATTAGTTATGCTAAATTTACTAATATATTTATACTAAATTCCTAATTACAATTAACAAAACACAATAACAGTGGGTGGGGTGGGTGCTCCCATAGGGATAGTAGGGCGGGGTGGGGGCAGGAGGGGACAAGTGTCCCTCGCCCCCTTGCCATTCCTAAATTTCTTTATCTACTCCAATCAATTCATTGGTTGCAGATTTTAATGAGTAGAAAGTTATTAATGTTCCTAAATTTTGTTATGTAGCCAAATTACCCTTTTCCCTCTAAACCTAACCAATAATTTAAGTATATCAAGATTTTATTTATTTTCTCTCACCCGAATCCTCTCTCTCCATACAAATTACAAATAGACCTCAATATGCGTATATACAATAAGTTGTAGAGTAAGAAGGGTATTTTGGTTACTTAACTATATCCAAGGATATTAATGACGTTTTACCAATTAAATTCCCCTATCAGCCAACAGATTGCTAAGCATATAGGTTTGCACAATAAATTTCTAAGAAAAATTCTCAATTGATTTTGATTTTTCTAAATGTTGATTTTTGAAATGCCAAAATCAAAATTCAAAAGAAGCATGTATTTTGTGACTACTCATCTTGGCTGTTTTTACTAAGCTCTAAAAAAGATAAAAGCTGAAAGGAAAGGCATTGAGAACATCATATAACAGATTTTACAGAATTAAAATCTAGAATTAAGTCCAAAAAAAAAATCAGTGAAGAGCAAGCCAAATGAGATACTAAAAAATAGTTTTTCAAAATCTGATTTTCAAATAACAAATATCACTATGCTTTTGCAGAATCAGAAACCGATGAGAACAGGGCCATAAAATTCACTTTAATTTCATAAAACTGATGCTGTTCCTTGAACATCTTACGTGTTGCTTAGTTCAGTGCTCGTCACTGGGCCTTCAAGAACAGAGTACTTGTATCAAGAGTCTTGTGTTCTAGGAGGAATGTCCCAAACTCCTAACAAGAATGTTTTCTACTTTCACTTTCTGTTTGGTCCTTGATTGTTGCTTCCGTTTTGATCGTTTTTGTCATGCTTTCTACAGGAGATGATTCATATGTTAAACTGTTTTATGCAGATGGAGAGAAATGTGGAAAAAGAAGGTGTGAAATTGTCTCTGCTCAATGTTGGAATTTGGGCATCGCCTAAATTGGAAAATCCATCTATTGATGAAGAGGAATCAGGTCAGGACTCAAGAATCATCGGATGACTGTAATAAAGACCTCATGAGTATCAAAACAAAAAAGAATTCATACTTGGAACTATGAATTATGCTATTAAAGGTGATATTAATTGAATGTCTTCCATGTTGGTACTCTCTAATTTGTGCAACTAGGAAATTTCTACCTCTTTGGAGCATAACAACATAAACCAAGGGGTTGATGACACTTTTTGCCTTCCAAAGTGGCAGGAAAACTCCATTTTGGATAATCTCAATCTGTTCTTTAATTGGAAATTTTTTTTTTTGGAGAGAGAGGGGGGGCGGGGGTGGTGGGGGGTTACAAGGGCAAACCAGTGGACAGGGGAATATGGTGGGAGAGGCACTCAATACGTCCCTTCTAACTTTACCACAGCTATAGGACTTGCTACTTGCAAACCCCAGCTGCTGAAGCTTACTTTCAAGTTCACCTATAAGTATTTTATCAGACAAACATACAAGTTCAAAAAATTGGCACTTAAAAATAATCCAATGTGAGTATACAATGCAGGTACAAAAGGCATGTACAATTGTATGTGAGAGTTGTTTCTATTCACCAGACAGCAGCAAACGAACCAAAGTCTCGGAGACCTGAACATAAATTCTTGCATTGTTTGTGGATACAAGGCTATGTCCTACAAGTTACTCTACAAATTCTCTGTCTACAAATTTACTAAAACATGGTGCATTTCCTAATTGATGCATCTTCAACTAAATCTCAGTGCTGTCTCTCTCTCAGTTCTCGTCTCAAAAACTATATCCACCATCTTCAAATGTGGAGAGAGAAAAGGGTGCAATAGCCACATTAAATGTCCTTGAGCCTACTTTATCAACATGCTTTATCTCGAAGTCCCCCTCCTACTCAAGTAATAAACCAGCAGAAACATAAATATACCACTAATTTTAAACAGGAAATTGAAATGAACATGCATTGAAAAATAATATTAGTTTGTTACCAAAAGATTGGCAAACTGCAGGATAGACCCCTTTAGCCCTAAAATTTATTGCACTCACAATATCGTGCAGAACAGCAGATGACAGGACTATAAGGTGGCATCAATATGTACTTGTCAAACTACCTTTTGTACTCAGAGGGGGTGGAGAAGGGAAAAAAGTTTAGCGCATAGAACACTAATCATCTCTATTATCAAAAAGATGATTTCAACAGTGAACAATAGTTTAGACCTTTCCATCCTCTCCCAGGGGCTGTATTAAGATAAACACCCATGTGTTTTCTTAATGTATTCCAGAATGGTTAAATATCTCATTGCTTAAAATGGAATTACTGGATATAAAAACTGGTTCTTACCACCTAATAATCTACTTCATAACGTCATTTCAAGACTTAATGAAGCTTCAAATGGTCTAAACATTCATTTTTCTCTTAAACTTCCACAGTAATTTGGTTTGTGGAGAAGATATATTTGTTTTCCTCTTTTGTTGGCATTAATACTGTTGAGGAGTTGCCATCAACTTTGTTTCTAAAAAAAAATTTTCCACAACTTCTACTGATTTACTTTGCCAAGAAAATAATTAGGGCTTTTATGGCATGTATACTATTAATAAGTAACAGATAACAGATCATCTTTCCATCCTACCACTTAAAATGCTTTAGGCTATTTTACGTCATGTATAACTTTAAAGAATAAAATATCATCTTACATTTTACAACGTGAAGGGCTATAGGCACTTTACATCAGGTATAACCATTAAAGAATAACAGACTATCTTACCATCCTCCCACTCGACGTGCCCAATGGGCATGCAGATGAATACTCAAAACCAGTATTAGGTAATATAACTGGTTGTTCGCCAATAACTCCAATTCCCCTGTCGGAAGAAGACAAATGACAGCCAGAAATTTAGATTGGTCAGCAGCTTTTTAGGGTTATTAAGATGATGATATCAAATCTAATTTTGATAACTTCAGTCTGTATATGACATATGAGACTGCAAATCTAACTTACCAGACATGTTCAGTTCTCCCATTGGCATCAGTGATGATCCAGTGCCTTCTAAGAAGTTGAACAGGGCGTTCTGAATTATTGGTGATTCTTATTCTATATGCAAAGAAATACAGGCCTTTTGAAGGCTGACTTCGGCCTTCTATGTAGACACTCCTAACTTGGACCCTTATGCCCTGAAAACAGTACTACATCCTTAGAAAATGCAACTGCTCAACCATCCCAAACTCAAAAGCAGTAATAAGTCACTGAGTGATGAAGCAAAGTTCCTAACGTGCATGGATAAGGTGTGCAAAGCACTAGTACTGATGCATGACAAAAAAAAGGACATGAACATAAGTATTTAAATTATCCTTCCTATACAGTATATGTACATTATACATGCAGATACATGTACAATGAAAAAGAAGTCCAATATCCATCATGTAAGAGATGAAAAACTCATAAATACATAGCATCAGAAGTCAAATGAAATTAAAAAATGTTCAGAAATCACTTCCTGCATAGGAAATAAATCTGGTAGTTTTAGAAAGTATAAGAAATCTTTCAAGTGGTAGGACTAAACAAAATAGACCTCAAATGTAAATAACTTGAACTTCAAATAGTTGTACTATGACTTTTAGAAAGTAACAAATACAGACACCAAGAACAGCAGTTTGAATAGGGCACAAACTACACAAACTGTATAAAGTACACTAACCAGGGGAACGAGCTCATCTTCAAGAAAAGGCGTAAGATCCCACTATTTCTCTTGTTCATTTGTTTTTATAATAGTGAAAATTTTCTATACAGGCAACCAAACATAGCCTAGGAACAAGAATATGACAACTTCCTTAATACAACTTTACAGTGGCCAAACTTTTTAACCTGTGAAGGAAGCTTGGAAACTGGATGTTTTTGTAGAGAAAAGTCTAGAATGGACTATTCTGTACAGACACAGGGGGGAGGGGGGGAGAGAGAGAGAGATGGTGCACTCTTCACAATACACTACTAGAACTTAAAATATTACTACCTGCATAATACTTCCCTATATGCATAAATGTCGCCCAATTTTTCAGAAATCTTGCCACACAACTGATTTGTGAAGAAAGAATTAATTCCCACATACCAAACGGGCATGGTAGCCAGAAAAAGATCAATTTGAATTTGTATATTTGAGTTGAGAAGCACTGTAATGCTTCAAAACTTGTTTATAAAAATGCATCACATATCCATAGCACCTATAAATATCTATCATGGCTTTTTACTATACCTCAAGAGACTGTAGATAATTTAGGTCATTTCAGTGGGAAATGACTAGCATTCAGGACTGTCATATGGCAAACATTCGCTTACTTGTGATGCCATTTCTGAAACTGGAACCAGCAATGAAGTTATGTTGCCTTTCGAGTGTCCTATGTTAGGCTCTATTACATTTTTGAAGTTCAAGAACTATCATTTAACATAGACAGGTGCAGAAGTTACACTTGTTGAGATCAAAATTTTCTACATAAGATAAATTTATAGCAAAAAATCTAACTACAACTTTATAGGGAAAATTTTTACCTTCCAAAGGAATTAATTCTACTTTTTAAACTTTTTAAGAGGCAAAAGAAACAGGAGTTTTGAAGATGATACTGGTCATTTCTCAAAGAAGAAAAAACCATTTCAAAGAAGCAACCTGCATGGTCATTTGCTAGATCTTGGGGTTGGTGACCTACTCCTCTTCTAGGTCTGTCTATGGAAATAACTTGCATCTCATGCTTAGAAACCTAACAGATATCACCAGTATAGACCAGTTCACTTATTCCCACCAACAGAAAAATTCCTGCATCCTTCTTTGCCAGAAACGGATCCCAAAGAGATTACTTCTGTAGCTAAAGTAGACATGTCCTAAAGGACAAAGTCCCAAATGGGTAAGGGATCCTAAACAAGTTAATATAGATGCCATGCCAGGCCCGAACTAGCTAGGATTCATTTTGAGTTAGATGCATGGATTCTTTCACATCAAAGCTAGCCCTTGGCTTTTAAACCAGCCTAAGAGGGCTCTAGATACAAATTCGCCTGTGCATCAAGCCAATTCCTCCTGAGGACTCTATGGGACCGTCATCCATAACTAGACCCAGGCTTTATGAGCCCATTTCAGTTTCAAGGATTCTCTGGAGTGTTAAAGGACAACATCCCATAAGGGGATCTTGCGCCTTTGCCCTCATTGTCCCAAAAAATTTTACATTTGGTGCACATGTTAACACATGCTCCAAAGATATTTTTTCTTTCTTTACTGTATCCAACATCTATAAGAAGGACGTTGGTTTTTGTTTACCACTATCCCTAAACAACTACTCCTTTTGTGATGATCTTCTAGTCATCCAAATAGTTTGCAACATATACCTGAATTTGGATGAATTTTCTAGTAAACTCAAATTGAAGTTTCATGAATAAAACAATTTCCGTTTTCTTGATTTCCTTTACCTCATTCTGTCCATGCAATGCCTTCTTTTTCTAAGTTATACCACACCTCCAGATTTGACTTGCTTGGAAGAACGCTAATTCCTTGCGATTTGCGAATGCTATAGCTATTTAATTATCAGACCAAAAGTGAGCTATGGGCTATATCTGGTATAAGTGTTATTTAAGCTCCTTTAGCCATGGGACTATATGGGCCATATTGTTATCAATTCTTCTGCTTGGTACTTCTCTTCCACAACGATAGCAAATTTGTGTAATATCCCTAAACACACTCCTCGGAAGTACCACAATTCACAACATGACAAGCATCACATAATCTCCTATATCATTTCTCACATAGATCTTCCCTAGTTGACTGTAACTGTAGCATACTTTAGCCTCCTAGACAAAGACCAAGTTGCAGAGTTATTAACAAAAGCACTTGCCTGTATCTCTTGTCCTATAAACTATAGGCCAAAATCCTAGAAGGACCACTAGCAACAGTAGTTGCAAAGTTTGGGTTCTGCTAATGAGCAATGAAAAGAGTAGTTGGTGAGTGGTAAACTTTAAACAACTTTCTCCTTCTCCATAACTTTACTGAGCAATCTCTAATGAATATCTTTGGAAGAATTTGAAGATTAATAACTTTTAGCAAATGTGGCTTCAGTAACTATATAACTTTCATCAGTCTATATAACATCTATAATCTGATGTACAGGACAATTGTTGTCGAGTGCAAGTAAGCAGCATGAAAAGTGCACTAACAGATCAGGCACTTCACACACCTAGCTATACATAACTAAGTGCCTATGGACTGGTTTTTGACAAGTAGTGTAGCTGTATAAGTCTGCAGGAAGCCCAAGTTTTCTTAAACTGTCGGATTAAAACATCCTGTTAAATTCAGCAACTTATTTCATATGAAACTTTAGTCTGCAACATTTTGTGCTATGATTGAAGAATCCAGATATATTCAAGGAAAGTTCAACTGCATGCTAATTACAAACAGTTCAGAGTTTGCATTAGAAAAGGAAAATTTTACATCTAAGCTGCCAACGCCTGATACAATATGATAACCTCAAAACAGTGAACATGCTTCCACCATTAAAAACTGAAAATAAAAAAGTGTGAGTTTAAGAAAGACACTTATGACAGGCTACTCCAAATGACAGGATGAAATATCAGAAATGAGGCATTAGGTTCAAATAGCTATCGTACCGAGGTTGTAGCATCGCTTGAACAATTCAAGAGAGAATGTGGGGCAATTTCCTTCAGCTCATCATGATACCGAGCTGCATCCTGGATGTGCAGTTGCATACATATGCATGTGACCAAGAGCAGCAGGCCACAGAAAGAAAGATTATCAAAGAGTATCAAAAACAACTAGTTCAAGAGATTAGCAAAGAATACATCTTAGCCAAGTGCTTTTGCTCACTTTAGTGGAATGATGTACCGAAGGCTGAGGTAAGCAAATTTATTACCCAACAAGCAAATATTCAAAAAGGACTGAATGCCACAGTCAGCATGATACATTACACTTGCCAATTGTTTAGTTTATACAGCAAATAAAAAGTATAATCTACGAAATTTAGTTAATAGTCCGTGATTCTCATTTTAATAACCTTGTGGTGATATTATGTACAACACCATAAAAGAAATGCAAAACCAGCATTATAGTGCACTTTAAATCATAAATGCTTCAACAATATATAAAAGGCTAAAGAAGCATAATTCACTTCAAATCCAATTTATTGAACATTGTCTCAACATTCAGCATTTCCTTACGTTTCAATTGCTTAAGTCTTGTTTCCACTCTTAATATGATATCCCTTGATACAGAAAGAGTTTAGGCAAAGAGGAAATACATACCTCAAACCTCTCATTGTCAATGGCTTCTTTCAATAATCTTTTAAGCCGCAAAACTGGCTCCTGATCCTCAAAAGTCTTCAATGAGTCCCGCAGCCTTGCTGCTTCCTCGTAATCCTATAATCAAACAACTCTACTATTATACAACCACCCTTTCTCCCAACTTAACCTCTTCCAGCATAACCATCAACCCAAAAAATAATAATAACAACACACACAAACACACACACACACAGAGTTTCAAATCACAGCAAAATTGACAAACTAGAATTCTCTCTAAATATTCCAACATTGTCAAGGTAAGTCAGAATCAATATCTATTCAATATTAATATTGACAAGCCCATATTTTGTTATTGACACTCACATTGACTTGTGTGATATGCATGGAAAGACAAAATTACCCATATTACTGTTGAATTTACAACCACTCTAAAATGTAATCAAAGGCAAATATAGAGGTATAATTGCGTTTTCACATCAATAAAAAAAAGTCACAGAAGTGACATTAACAATTGCAGGAATGCCAAATTAAAATCAACAAATTCAAACTAAAGATGCTTAGCTAATAAATCATTGAGTAAACATTAACAAACTCAACTTATGATGTTAATTAACTGTTAATTAAACACTAATTTAACTAACCTCAGATTTTGCGGCGACTTCCATTTGTTGCTTCAACAGAGCATAAGTTTGGCCCGGGGAAAGAAATGAACCCTGGCTTGACCCAGGTCCAGAACCCGACCCACTAACCGAACCCGGATTAGAACCACCTGGACTCTGGCTCTCCGAAGCACAAGCTACAATCCTACAAAACCTCGAAGAATAATCGCTATCATGTCTGCAATTCAACCTTTGCCTTCTCTCGAAATCGCCATGGCAGTGGCCGAGTCCACTGCCGAGTCGACTCGGCCACGTCGGTTTCCTGACCGCGTTGAAATCGGTTGTGATATTGAAATTTATTGATTGCATTTTTTATTTTAGGGATTTTTTCTTTTTTAACCTTTCTTCTAAAGGAATTTTTGGGGTATGAAGATTGAATCTCTGATTCGGAAATGGGATGCATTTCTTTAATGGTAGTTTACAACTGTGTGAAATTACAGTTTTGGGTGTAAGGGCAGGAATGTAATCTAAGTCTAATCGAGTTCGATGCATTACTCGAACTTGAACTTGACTCGAGTTAAAAAACTTGAATTCAATCTCAAGCACATCCATCGTACTTTTGAAAGTCAAACTAGAGTTTAAATTCGATTTTATTTTACAATACTCAAACTCAAGATTGATTTCGCATTCATCAAACCTAATCGAACTTGTTTCGAGTTGAATTGAACCTAATGAGTTTAAGAAATATAAATTTATATTTATATATAAATTTGTATGAGAAATAAAATATATATATTTAATACTAACAAATAGAAAAATATATATATTTATATGTATGTGTATATGTGAAACTTGATTAAACTTGACAAGTTTTTGAGTTTTCACATATTAAACTTAAATTCAACTCGACAAGTAGTTTAAGTTGTTTGAATTTGATCTCAAATTTATTCAACACAAATTTGAGTTTAAAATTTGACCAAACAAACATTAAACTCACTCATTTGCACTATTGGTAAGAGTGACTCACTTGTTTGAAAATACAAGGGCAATTTGGGGAATAAAAGGATGTTACGTCAGATATTTGTAGATTCTGATAATTGTAGATTCTGATGGAGGAAGTTACACGTGTATATTTTATGTTTTGTGACTGAAGGACAACTGGGCGAGTTCGTGGCTTTTCTTCTTTTTCTCCTTTTCTTTTCTTTCTCGCATTTTCCAACTTTTGCTTTTAAATTATTTTTGTTCAATAAATTGGTTTTTTTTTATTAACTTAAAAATATTTTCCTATGTACCCAAAAAAATATTTTGTTAGTAGATTCATTGGTCAATTAATGATTGTCAGTAAAAATTAGGGATCAAAAACATATTTCTCTCTCATACCTAAATGTAGGTTCCTATCCAAGATGGCTTACAATAGATATAAGAATTCAAATGCATGATTATGATTTATGAATTTTAAGGAATCATTGACACATTAAAACTTTTTTGGAAAATCACATTCTTTTTTTTATTCCTTAACATTTTTTTAGTCCTTGATAGTTTTCAGTGGTTGCTAGCGAAGATGTTTTGTAATGTGCGTAAACATGGGTAAAGTTTAGAAGGACCATTTTCAAAATTTGTTTAAATATTCTTTAAACACATAGTCCAACTATTATATATCACTAGTGAATAAGGCACACCCTAATGGGTGTGCAATTAATAAAAATTACAAATATGGAAATTCTGTCACAGTCCTTTATTAATATTTGAAATATTGGCATCAAACCATATCTATATCCATAAAGGAATTAGTGGACTTCTCCTCCGGATGATAGTATAGAAAGGGGAAGTTGCTTTAGAAGGAAGAGAGAGAGAGAGAGTTGAGTGGAACACATAAACGTGGGAGTTGGAATGAGAGAGTGGTAATTACTAATTAATGGATAATGTGAATTGATAACTATGTATTAATTGTCATCAATGACTTAGGTTCCGTTTGATAAAACTGAATCTGAATTCTAAAATCTGAATTATGAAATCTGAATACTGAAACAATTAATTTACTGAATTTTAAGCACTGAAAAAAATATATGAATGTCTGAATTTTAATACTAAACCTATTTATGTTGTTTGATAAATATTTATAACTGAATGCTTAATAAGTTTAATTTGACAATTTTGCCCTTATATCCTTTCATTCAAAAAAGAAATAAAATCTATGATTTAATTAGTTTAAAATTGTTAGGTATGAAAATGACAATATTTATTTTTAAATCAAATTAATATAAAAGATGAAATATATTATATGAGGAGTATGGAAAAGATGTGAAAGTCATTAAAAAGGGAGAAAAGAAAAACTAAAAATCGTTAGATAGAGAATATTATGTTGTTTAATTAGATAAGAATTTTGAACATAATTAACAAACAAGAGTAGATTTGGTAGATAAGATAAGGTAATTGAAATAATTCTATTGATTCTTATCAGAATTAAGCATTCAGTTAGGATTCTTGTGCTGAAAAAAATACACATAGGTTCAGCACTAATTAACAAGTTCAGCAAATAGATTTTTATTTATCAAACACTCAAAACATCTGAATGTCTGAAAAAATTCAGATTCAGCACTTTTTTATGTTATCAAACAGACCCTTAAAGTCTTGATGGAATAAGAAGTCAAGACTTTAAACCTAACATTTCATCACTCTACCATTATATGTGGCTTTTCAAATGCATGCGGGTGCATTGTGTACCTGTCTGATCCAATGGTGATTTAGTTTCTATCATTTTTCAATGGATTTAGTTGGGCCTCCTTTTAAAATATGTTAGAGTAGGATTAGAAATAGAAATTGATGATAACGATTGACAAAAAGAAAAACTATAGAGTTGTCTTGCAATAGATTGGGGCTAATTAAGGCTAAATAGGAACTTCAAAAATGGCATTGTGTGTTTCAACCATACAGTGATCCCTTGACATTATATATTGCAAAGATATTTCGAAAAAGAAAATATTAATGACATTCTTTGACTGTTTTTACTCTGCGAAATATTAAAATGGCCTCTACAAGACCATCCCAATTAGGGGAAAATTGTTCAAAAAGTTTCTCACATTTTATAAACTAACTTTTTTCATCCCTCACTTTTGAAAGTATAATTTTACATTTCTTACAAATTCATTTTGATCAAATTTGACCTCTACCTAGATTTTTGACTAGTTTTTTGTCGAAATCTACCACATGCCTTGCATGTAATCATTTTTAGGTACAAAATTGTTAAATCAAACTTTATATAATCCGATCCATAGTTCTTCACATTTCACAAAATGAATTGTTTCATCCCTCACATTTCATAAAATAAATTTTTTCATCTCTCACATTTCACAAAATAAATATTTTCATCCCCCATTGACCATGTGTACCCATGGCTTTATATATTTTATTTCACCTAAACAGTATGAATAACGTATAATATATCTTTATTTGATTTCATCTAGACAGACTAATTGTAGTTATACACATGCTATTTAATAGATATTTATATGGATTTAAAATTAATATTTTTATTTTAAACTCATGTATATATCTATTTGATTTTACCATGTGAACCTATTCAACATTTGTGATCTTTTCTATTTTGGTAATAATTCATTTATTGAGTTATATAGTAAGGATATCTAATTAATAAGTCCTAATTCGAAATATATAGTCATGCTAATAAATTACAGTTTAAATTTGAAATTTCTACCCTCCACCTTTAAGACCGACAATTGAATTATTTGTCTTATGATTATTTTAAAATTTGAAAGTACAAATCACTTATTTCTTTTTATTATACTTTTCCTTTGTTTATTTTTTATCCAAATTTAATTTGATATAAATACTTGATAATGTTTAGAATTAAATGTCTTCTTTGTTTTCAATTTTTGAGTAAAAGAAAATGAACATGAGTGAAAAACTAACAATTTTTTTTAAACCCTTGTATATATCTATTTGATTTCACATGAACAGTATATTTAAGCGAAATCAAATAGCGATATATTGCATGTTGTTCATATTGTTCAAATAAAATCAAATAGATATATAAATGAATTTTTTTTTTAAAAAAAAGCTATTCATACACATGATCAATGAAGAATGAAAAAATTCATTTTATAAAATATGAGGGATGAAAAAATTCATTTTGTGAAATGTGAGAGACGAAAAAAATTCATTTTGTGAAATATGAGTAACTATGAATTGGATTATATAAATTTTGATTTGATAATTTTACCCTTAAAAAATGATCACGTGTAAGGCACATGATAGATTCCTGCCAAAAAATAGTCAGAAACTTAAGTAGGGACCAAATTTGACCAATGTGAAATTGTAAGGAACGTAAAATTACACTTTTAAAAGTGAGGGACGAAAAAAGGCATTTTGCAAAATATAAGGAACGTTTTGAACGATTTTTTCTTAAGTAAATCTATGAAAAAATCCCTTATGATTAAGCTAATCTACGAAAAAACCCTCTATGATTACCTATTGCTGTCACAAGCATTCTCCACCTTCAATTGTTACCCTCCCTTTCATCTTTACCTCATCTTCCTGCCCCCTTTCTCTTCCATCTCCTTTCCCTCCCTTTGCGACCCCTTTCTTGCATCTACTCACATTCTTCTCGTGGTCATATTTATTGTAGAAGGGAGAGGAAAGGGTTTGGGGAAAGGGTGATCTGGTCACGACCCCTTCTCTTTCTCCCACAACTAATTATGGTCATTGGAAGGAGAAAGGTTGTGGAGAAATGGCCTTGAAGGGAGGAGAGAGAGTAGGATGCAAGGAAGGGGAAGAGAAGAAGGAAGAAGGGAGAGGAGGAAAACGAAGAGGGAGAGGGTAGTGATCGAGAGGAGGGTGGTGGTAGCAAGAGAAGAGTGGCGGTGGAGAAAGAGATGGGGTGGTATTTTATTTTTATTTATTTATTTATTTTATGTATAGAAACAAGGTGAATTGTATTTAGGAGTTTTGGATTGTTTTTTAAAAATTTTATGAGTTCTAAAAGGTTCAATAGGTATATCAGCTAAAAATTTGATTTAAGAAATTATTTTCCAAGTCAAGCACTTGCAATAGAAGCGCGTTTGTCTCAAACTTGTTAATTTAAATGATTTTTGTCGATTTTTTACATTAGTTCAAACCACAAAATATCGAATTATATAACTTGAAATCATAAGAGGCTATTTTTGTAAGTTTGCTTAACCACGAGGGACCTTCTGCATTTAAAAATTTACTTGTTTCCAGTACATACTCTCAATAGTGGTGTGTGTATCTCAAACTAGTTAATTCAGATGATTTCTATCACTTTTTTAAATTAGTTCAAACCACGAGATATTAGAGTGCATGTTTTAAAATTGTAGGGGATTTTTCTGTATTTCAACAAAAAGAAATAAAATGATATGTTTCAACCCACATATTTTAGGAAAAAAGCTATTTTTAATGAAGCAAA